GAACATGTAAAAATAAGCCTGTTTTGAACCATAGAAAAACACTCCTTGCTCCTTCGACCCACAGGTAGTGCTGGAAATCTATTTATTTTCGGGGTTTGGTTCTCTTCTCTTCGCTTCCTCTTACCTGTCAGGATACCCGCTTCCAGTGACAAAGGCAAAACTTTGTTTAAAATAATGCCTGCTTAAAAGATTTTAGCTGCTATTTTGGCTTCTGAGAGTGGATTGGTTGATCCCTATACCAATTCCATTACAACTGTACATGACTGGGTTGTCAGCTGATTTAAGTATATCACAATTGTTACTGTCCCACCTGTCCTGTATCCTGAAGATTTAAAATTCTCCTAACACGTCCAAATAGAATGGTGCAGCAGTCAACAAAGTTACTTAAATGCTCAGCTCCATATCCAAAACAATAGGGGAGAAGTCAGAAGAAATCATGGTTAAATTATGCCAAGATCTGGTCAAATTACACCTTTAGCCTTTGCAATAAAGTGAGACTGTCAGCAGAGGTGATGCAACCAAGAAAAATAGGTCTCAAGACTGACCCGCAAATTTGGAAGTCACAAGCTATTTAAACCAGTGGAAAAATATGGACTTATCTTCCTCAAAATGATCTTAAGCAGACATACATAGAGTCATAGAGTTGTACAGCACGAAGCAGACCCTTAGGTCCAATTCATTCAAGCCAACAAGGTATCGTAAATTAATCTAGTCCCATTTGCCAGCATTTGGCCCATATCCCTCTGAACTCTTCCTATTCATATACCCATCCCGATGCCTTTTAAATGTTGTAATCATACCAGCCTCCACCACTTCCTCTGGCAGCTCATTCCATACAATCACACCCTCAGCATGAAAATGTTGCCCCTTAGGTCCCTTTTATATCTTTCCCTTCTCATCTTAAACCTACACCCCCTAGTTTTGGACTCCCGAAACCTGGGAAAAAGACCTTGGCTAATCACCCCCATCCATGCCCCTCGTGATTTTATAAACCTCACTCAGTCACCCCTCAGCCTTTGACACTCCAGGGAAAATAGCCGTAGCCTCTCCCTGCAGCTCAAAACCTTGTAATTCTTTTCTGCACCCTTTCAAGTTTAACAACACTGTTCCTATAGCAGGGAGACCAGAACTGAACGCAAAAGCGGCCTAACCAATGTCGTGCACAGCCCAACTCCTCTACTCAATGCACTGATCAATATTTGCCTTCTTCACTCCCCTGCCTACTTGTGACTCCACCTTCAAGGAACTATCAACCTTGTTGTATGTACTATGGAAAATTACAACCTGAATTTACACAATAAAAAGAAGATGACCCAAGGCACTTTACAGAAGAGTTACAAAACCAAATTAGACAACAAACTTCATAAGGAGATATGAAAGCAGATGATCAGAAGTCAGAGACAGGTTTTAAGGAGTGTTTTAAAGGGAGGTGGAAAGATTGAGAGGTGCAGGGAATGCCAGCAGCTTACAGCCTAGAAAGCTGAAGATATAGTCAACAACAGATGGCGATTTAAATCAGGGATGCTGAAGATGCCCAATTTGGTTGAGCTAGATACCTTGGAGGATTGTGGAGCTGGAGGAGATTACAGAGATAGGGAGGAGCCAGACCATGAAGGGATTGCAAAACAAAAGAATGAGAAAGACAAAATCTGGAAAATTAATATAAATTGCAAGACAAGGAAGCAAATACCTAGAATGAGGAATCAACATTTGTAAAGAACGGAGCAGAGCTGAGAATCAATTAAAGACATACTTAGTAGCTGCAATGCTAGGACTTTTAGGTTATTGTAGATGGGTGAAGTAAGTTAACTGACTGACTGTTTTCGTTCTAATTCCTTGGAATGGGGGACGGGGAGGTACAGGTGCAGTTATTAAGAGTATGACCAAGAGATTAAGCAATTGAATCATTAACCAAGAGGAGTAATTTCTAGGCTTACAATACTGCATCAAGCAGCAGCCACAATTTCCTGAAAGAATACAGTATCTTTGAAGTCAAAAAACAATCCTTTATGATTGTTTGGACTTCTTTCTCTCTCACTGACAAGAACAGGTGAAGCAATGTGTAAACACACCTCCATTCTTTCAACTTCCCTCTCCTCTTACTGAACAATCTGATTGTTTTTTTGGTTACATTTTGGTTACATGCCCACCCCTTATGCTCAAACCTAGATCAGGGAATAATGCACGCTATTCAGTCAGCCAGCCAAGACTTAAGCTGCCATCCCAATGTACACACATGATAGCATGGGGTAAAAATTTACGGAATTATACTCTTTGTCCAATATGTGATGCCATTTACATATGTCCTAATATAATTTATTTTGGATTTTTATATTTTTAACCAGCAGAAAGCTTGCTTGATCTGTGTCTATGAAAGGGTTATTCAAAGATGACAAAGTCTAAGCTCAGTTGTATGATGATTCAAGGGAAAGGCAATCAGATTCTTAAGATTTCGAAATAAAGCAAAGTTAAGTCCTTTAGAAGTGACAGGAAAGAAAATTCTCTTTGGTTTGAGTAGTATAAAAGAGTGTTGTTAGGATTCAGGGCATTATGTTTTATCAGGTATATACAAATATTTAAACATGTTTATCTGGAAATAGCACAGCTTATTCTACTTTACGTTCACTTATTTTATGTAATAAACTTCTGTTTTCCTGTTAAAAACCCAATCTGTCGTATTGCATGCTTGTTTTTCAAAGAGAGATCACCTCCTTAAAACCAAAATGCACAAACAATGATCTGTCAAGTCAGATTTCAATCTAGGATCAGACTTGTCCAGTGATATCACCATCTGGAATCATAGAAAATGTTATAACTATGGGCATACTCTTAGTATGTCAGCAAGCTTGCAACTGCCCACACTTCTGGTCAAGGTTTTTCCATTACAATTACCAAATCAACATGTATACCCTTGTTATTGCTTCATGGAATGTTGGTGTTGCTGGTTAAGCAATCATTTATTGGCATCCCTAATTACCCAGAAGTCATTTACAAGTCAACCACATTGCTGTGGACCTGGAGTCACATGTAGGCTCCCTTAAAGGAGCATTGGCAAACTGGATAGATTTGTCCTCAAACAATCAGCAACACCTTCCTGGTCATCATCTTAATTTCTGATTTCTTCCTCCCCTCCCCAAAATTGAATTCAAAATATACTACCTTTCAAGTAGGACTTGAATTCATATCCCAGAACATTACTCAGCTCTCTGGAGTAATAGTCCAGCAATAACACCACTAGGCCATCATCCTTCTCCATTATACCCAAATGTCACAATGAAGTTACACTGTCCTTCCAGCGGAGGTACTACAGTATCACCAATAGCAGGTAACTGCAATTATAATGTCACACCTTTCACCAGATGGTTCCTGTCATAAATGTGGACTTGGTCATTTATAATGGGAATGAAAAAGTGCGAAATGCTTGGACTCAATTACATCTGTATATGTGTTATTCTAAAAATCCCCAGATTCCAACTCCTTGTTATTGGAAGATAACACTTGGTCTTAGTTACCAACTGGTAGGATCAACGAGTATACATAACACACTCAGGGTTATGGGTTACAGCATATGTTTGCAAAGAGTTATATAAAACCTTTCACAATCTCAGGACGTTACAGGCAATAAAGTGCCCTGTTAAAAAAAAAGTACTGTTGTAATACAGGAAATGTGACAGTCAAATTAAGCATGAATGCTCACAAACAGGGATTAACCATAGAATCCCTACAGTGTGGAAACAGTCCACACCGAAGGCCATCCCACCCAGACCTATCCCCCTACCCTTTCCCCTGTAATGCTGCAATTCCCATGGCTAACACACCTAACCTACACGTCCCAGAACATTACAGGCACTTTAGCACAGCCAATCCACCTAGCCTACACATCTTTGGACTGTGGGAGGAAACCAGAGCATCCGGAGGAAGCCCACGCAGACACAGGGAGAATGTGCAAACTCCACACAGACAGTCACCTGAGGGTGGAATCAAACCCGGGTCCCTGGCGCTGTGAGGCAGCAGTGCCAACCACTGAGCCACCATGCCGCCCTTAAATCAGTTATTTGGTTTTAGTGGTGATGATCAATGGATAAATACTGGCCAGGAAAATGGAGAAGAATGGCCATGATTTTCTTTGCGACAGTGTCCTTTTACATCTGTGTTTTAGGACAGGCAGGGCCCCTGGATTAAATGTGATCTGAAAGACAGCACCTCCAACAGTGTAGCACTCTCTCAGTACAGCATGAAGCTTCAGCCTTTCTCATACACTCAAGTCTCGGGAGTGAGACTTCAAGCCTCTTCCAACCCTGGCTATGGGAGCGTTACCCAGTGATAGTATCACATTGCAGACTCTCGCTTCATTCTAGCCTGTAATTGCGGAGGTTGGTGATGTTTTTAATAATTGCATTGTACAATTGCTCTGTATGGACGAAAAATTGCCCAGAGAACACTATAGCTTTCAAAATCACCAGAAATTATATCTGTACTCTTTCCAAGGGTGTGGCTCCCCCGACCCCCCTCCAAGATTTCACAAAGAATTTCTGTACTTCTGCCAGTTTGACATCTTTATTTTTCTTTTTAATTAAATCAGATACTCTTCAACTTTGGCATCAAAGCTGGCTTTTCTATGTTCACCGATTAATGTTTACATGAAAACACATGCACACACATATACACACACGCTAAATGCTTGAATACAGAATCAAATGGCACAGTGTGTTGGTGCCAATCCTGTGTGCTCCCAAATGTTCACCAGTGAATAATAATTCAATGATAAATGGAGGGTGTTTGCAATGCAGTAAATCATGTAACACCATTTCTACTGTCGGGCAGGCAGAAAAGGCAACACTATGATTGGGTGGATCACAGTAACAATAAAACAGTCATGGCACCAAGTGGGTCTTATCAACAAAACACACCCATTCCTGACATAAGCTACAGATGGGATATAAAGTATTCTCTCTGAGGAAGCAGCTGGATTAGAAGGAGAATGTGCCAATTTTCCTTACTTTGGGCTGTTGCAGTGTCTCTCCCTGTAGTTAACTCCACCATCGCAGGTCCGGGAGCATTCTGACCACTCTGACCAGTTGGACCACTGACCGTTAATGGGCTTGGGGCCTTCATCTCCGTACTTCAAGCACTGACCTCGCCGACACCACTGCGATGATAAGGAAGGAAGAAGCGTGAGCTTATGAAGACTTGTCAACACTAACCTTATGCAAACCCCTCGCGAATGCAAAGCTCCCTAACAGCAAAGATGCTTTGTGAGGAATCTGGGGCAGCCGGATCCTTCTTTCAATCCCGGATCTCTTCCGCAGGCCAGAAGGTCCTGAAAGCACAGGAGTCCAGTCAAGGAATCAGAACCCACCCATACCAACAACCCCCAACCCCACCCCGCCATCCCCCCCAACTCTCACCTCAATCCCATGAATCAGCTCACGGGAAAGCCATCTGAATACATGCTGTACATCTCACTGACCCACAGTCCTAGTTTGTTTCTGCCTTCAGTTACACGACAGGGAAAGACAGGGAAAGACTCACATGCGATCGCATTAAGTAATATCTCTCTAAACAACAGACAGCAAGGATACTTAACACCCCTTTCTTTTTGCAGGCCAGCACTTCAGTTCAAAAGCCAGACTTTCCAGCTGAGCTGGAGGCGGCAACAGACATGAACAACATTTTCCTTCGCAGCTGAGATTCTGCTCCACCATTTCTAACTTCTACTAAGAGGATTAACATTTGACATAATAAGGGGGCATTAACTGATTGATACCAGCTGAGATGATTCCTTTGGCACTGACCGGGGATGTTTACTCTCAACTTGAGACTCCCTGTAGCACCAGAATTATAATCATGTGATGAATTTTGCAGTCCAAGTGTTGGGGAAGATAGAGATACAGTATAATTAGCATTAAGAACTACAGGCTGGCAAGATGCCTACATTCATCCTGTGCTGTGAGTTCTGCAGAGTATTGCACTATGCAATTTATCATTTAATGCTGCCTCCCATCTTACACCTGCACACTCTATAAAGAATATTGAGAGCACTCGGCTGTAATCTCATTGATGAGTTCCAGTGTTGAGACAAGCCTGACGGGGGATCATCTAAGCAGTGGAATAGTAATACAGGAATTTTTTTTATCCTCTCTCTTAAACAAATATTTAAATAGGTCCTCAATTTTCTTCTCTTCTCTCCTGAAGGCACTGACTCATGCTGGAATCTGGCCAATGAGCTGTTAAACTAAGGTGAGGTCTTGGCTCACACCACAAGGCACTATGGAACCCACCTGTCACCTGGCATGCACAGCTGTGCTCTCCAAGATATAGCCAAGGGACAACTGAAGCCAGCTGGAGATCAGTCAACACAACAGAGAGGTGAGGAAGAACTTGCCCAGTCTGTAACATAACAGGGTGGGGGTAAATTAAGTCACTGGGGCATCAGGGCATATGTGAAAAGTTTCATTAGGTTATTGCTCTGCCACCTCAGCCAAGGGTGGTAATACAGACACCGAAAACCTGGAAAAGGCAGGAAAGTGGAGTGGAGGATTATCAGATCAGCCGTGATCTCACTGAATGGTGGAGCAGACTCGATGGGCTGAATGGCCTACTTCTGCTCCCAAATCTTAGCGCACTCCACGAGAGTGAAATGTAACCCAGAATTAATGACCAGATGCTGGTGGGGCAGACTGTGCCATCTGATGTCCATGTACCACTTACCTTGTTGGGTCCACAAACTGTACCCTCTGCAGCTGGCATAAACTTCGTTTCACATCTGTGCCCACTCTTATGGCACCAAAGGGCTTTGCAAATATCCTGTGGTGGAACACAAAAGTAAAATCCGTGTCAGCAAAACCATCCCCCTACAAGAGAACTGCAGACTCTCTCACCCCATGACCACCACTACCACCTCAACCAGCCTTCATCTCCTTAAGTAAAAACCGAAAGAACTGCAGATGCTGTAAATCAGGAACAAAAACAAAGTTGCTGGAAAAGCTCAGCAGGTCTGGCAGCATCTTTTTTTCTTTCACAGATGCTGCCAGATCTGCTGAGCTTTTCCAGCAACTTTGTTTTTGCTCCTAGCCTTCATCTCCCTGTCTGAAATGGGCAAATACATAAAAATGGTATTTTCTGCAAATTGAGAAGTTTACCACATAAGGTGCACTGATAGGTCGGAGGCTACTCACACCAGTCAGACTTATCCCAACTATTCATAAAAAAACTGCAATGTAAGAATCTGTCAGTTTGGTTTGGTTGATAGAATTCTGAATACCAAGTCTGAAGAATGTGGATTTAAGCCCCACTGCAACTTGTGACATTTCAGGTGGTTATACTGTTTGAGCGGCCAACTTTTGTCCTGTTTGTGGTTCACATGACCACTGAATCTTTCTCTCTCTCTATTTTGATTGACCATGTCGATTCAGGCTAGCAAGAGCAGTGTAATAATTAGACACTTTTAAGGTAATTCTCTCAATGTGAAGTGCCTTGACGATTATAATAACATTGACATTAGCTCCAAGTTTTTTTTTTATATATCTCCCTGTTCTGCACATTATTCATGACTGAAAACTGAAACAAGTGGTGTTACCAAAGAAGTACCTTTATTAAAGTGGTCAGAAATCCTTGTTATCCAAATTAACTGATCCAAGATCTCACTGCAGATAAAACCATATTGTTCCAAAATTCTACAGGAAGTAAATCTCCTCTTTGAATCACGCTGTGTTAATTTAGTGGCACTCATATCAGTAAGGATATCACAATTTGTGAAAGGTGCCTGTCACCAGGTAAGTCAAAATACAGATCGGGACCTTGATCCTAACTGTCTCCACTGGCAAACTTTGGAAATTGTACACAACCATCAGATGAAGCTGGGATCAAAAGTAGTATTGAGTCACAAGTAGAAGTACTATAATAGGCCCTTAGTGTCTCTGGGCTGGGATGATGAGGAACTGCTCCAAACCTGCCACTCTTGGTAATTATCTCACAACCCTAAAACTAATTGGTGCCACTTATGTATCAGGACCAGCCATTTCACAAAACACCAGAGAATCAGCAATACCATGAAACCCACAAGGAATTGATGGGTTCAGGATAAGGACAGCAGGAGAGCAAATTGGCAAGAAAGGAGTTGAAACAACAATGAGACGAGGCAAAACTGCTGGTTCCTATGAAATCACGCTCCAGAATTACGTAATACCCATCAGGATTTGGAGATTAAATTGACCAAAAACAAAAATTGCAATCACTAGGTTATATTCCAGAGTCACCATTCAGCAATCTTTTCCTTACATGCAGTGCAAGGACAAATCAATGACTTCTGTGCACTCTGAACAATCACTTTTTCATTGTCAACTCATAGGTGACCCTTATGGTGATAAGGTTGTTAAACATTCGGCCTCTGAGTGTACAGTGTTCTGAATTTGACCGAAAGTTTATTGAAAGTGTTGTGTACAAGGATATGATTTGGTTAGCCCTGTGCTCCAAGGACATCAGTAAACAAATATACTGATTCAAGTTGGGCTTTTCATCTACTTCAAATCATCAAAAGGCTGACTGGAGAGATTTTATGTTCCGGTCAGGCCTTTCATCCAAGTAGATCATTTAAGTGTACAGAAGGAGGCCATTCATCCATGGAATCTGTATCAGTCTTTCAAAAAGCAATCACTCCATCAGTCTTTCACCATCAAATATTTATCCAATCTGAAATTGAAACAATCTCTATGACCCTATCAGCCAGTGTTTTCAATTCTTTCTTTCTTTATTCTTTATTTCTTTCCCACACCTTATGGCACATGACACAAACAGAACATGTATGTTTCCACAGCTAGTTACCCCTCAAGCAGTTTGCCACAGACTGCACCTTGAGTTATCACCACTCCTCATCTAGTACAGCTGAGCAACGGTGTCTCAGTGTGAGCTCCTTTTATTGGTGTCTTGTGAGGATTAACATATGATAGCTCACCAATTTGGCCACATTTGAATACATCTTCCTTGGCCATCAAGTCTTGGAGTGGGACTTGATGCTGGACCTTCTGGGACAGAGATAGGGACACTACCCACTGAGCTATAAGACCTCCCACTCCAATTCCTAACCAATTGTAAGCAGTTTTTCTGTGTATCTCCTCTAGCTCTTTTGTCAATCATTTTAAATTTGCATCTCTGTGCTTCAACCAATGCAAACAGTTTGTTTTCTCTTTATTTTCTCAACCAAGCCCTTTATGATACTAAAACTTCCATCAAATTTCCTCTTAGATTTACGTGCACCAAGGAGGGAACCCCTGTCTGTCCAGGTGACTACAATGTCTTATGCCTGGAACTATTCTAATAAATCTTTTCTTTACCCTTTCCAATGCCTTCACAGCCTTCCTGAATTAGGGCATCCAGAACTGGATACAATACTCCAGTATCTTAAATTGAAAGTTACCTCGAGAAGGACACTTTAAGAAGCTCTTTATTCTAAGTGTACACTTAAAAAGAAGAAAATAGATAAAGGCTATTTAAACCATGAATCCCAGACCCTCCACATCACATTGGCCAATCCACAGTTTCATTGACTAGACCTAATCACTGGATAATTTCCCAGTGTCTTACACACTCACCACAAAATCAAGCAAAATCTTCAGAATTCAATTTCACACCTGACATTATTCCTTCTTGACCCGTTGCCATCAATTTTTGAGAGCCCCAGCAACTCAGTGACCACAGACCATTTGAATATCTCAACTACCTTACATTCAATTGTGGATAGGGCTGCAAGAGGGATTCGGAATGGGGAAAACCTCAGCTGAGGACCCCCTTAACTCAGCAAGGTAATTAGAGAAATCGCGGTGGGGAGGGTGGTACTATTTCAGACCAACTTTTCCCCCTAACATCACCACCACACAACAACAGGATGTGTTTGAGTCAGGCATTGCTGTGCACACTCACCTTGCCTTGCATTCAATGCAAATCAGCTGACCAGAGAAGTCAAGTGTAAAGAGCCAGCCACCCAAGACTCTGTTACATTATTGCATCGAGCTCAGAAAGGCATCATACCTTTAAGTCAGCTAGGTGACATTATGGTATGACACTCCAGAAGAAGAGGTCTCCATCTTACTCTCCATTCAGTCATGCAAACAACTGTTATATACCAAGCAGGTAGCCAGCAAGTTAGTCAACTGTGCATGCAATGTAATAGCAATCCAAGTAAGCACATAACCCAGACTGCAGAAGTCTGAGACATGTCATATCATGTTAGCTGCCAATAAACTTTGAGATATCTCACTCACTAAGAACCCGACTCTCCATGGTATCTGTTACATGAACTAACACATAGAAAACCACATCACGTCAGAGCATGCCTCATGCTCACCAATGAGACCAATTAAATTGAGCTATGAACAGCTGAATCCAAGATGTTAAAACTACTTGAGGGGCTGAATGGCCTGTTTCTGTGTTCCTCTCCACTGCTACCTTCTCAAGGGCAATTAGTGATGGGAAAATGCTGCCCTGGCCAACAATGTACACATCCCATGAATCAATACATTTCAAATAAAACTTTGCCTTTAGTGAAAACTACTCCCATAGAATCACATGATGTTATTTGATCCAATATTCACATTCTTCCTAAAAAAATGTCTAATTAGTATTACTGCTCCTGCTCTGTCATAACACTGTAAAACATTACCTTTTTTAAAATTCATTCAATTTCTAATTGAAAATTACCGCTGATTCAGGTTCCACCAATATACAGGCACTGCATTCCATGGTATAGCAATCTACTGAATAAAACAATACTCTTCACATTCCCCCTGCTTTATTGATAATTCTCTTAATCACTTTCTTTTGGTTACTGATCCTTCCATCAGAGAAAACAGTTTCTCTCTTTCTAAAATGCTACCAAACTCTTCATAATTTTGAACGCCCCTATTAAACCTGCCACAAATCTGCTCTGATCCAAGGATAACAACCCCAGATTCACCTGCACCTTTACAGAACTAAAGTCCATCATCCCTGGTCCAATGGTAAATCTGTTTGATGTTCTCTTGAAGGCACTTCCTTCGTGAAATGTTGCGTCAGAATTGGACACAATCCGCTAGTTAAGGTCTAACCAGTGATTTATAAGGGCTTCCAATTCCTTCCTTTCCTTTGTATTCTATGCCTCAACTTAAAATAAAACAAGGAATAAAAGCAAAATAGTATGGGTGCTGGAAATCTGAAATAATCACAGAAAATGCTGGAGAAATTCAGCACTTCTGGGAGCGTCTAGTGAGACAGAGAAAGAGAATTAACAGTTTGATTCTGATATGACTCTTACAATCATGGAATCATAGAATCCCTACAGTGTGGAAGCAGGCCATTCGGCCCATCGAGCCCACACCGACCCTCTGAAGAGCATCCCTCCCAGACACATCTCCCTACCCCATCCCTGTAACCGCGCATTTCCCATGGCTAATCTACCCAGCCTACACATCCCAGGATGCGATGGGCAATTTAGCAGGGCTAATCCACCGAACCTGTGCATCTTTGGACTCATTCAGGTCAGTTCAGATCAGTTCTGAAAAGCAGTCATACTGAACTTGAAACATTAATTCTGTTTCTCTCTACAAATATGTTACCAGAAGGGCTGAGTTTCTCCAGCAAGTTCAGAGTTTAAAAAAAAACAAGGATCAGACAATCTTAATTTTTATAGGTTTAACAACGTAATGTGCCACCTTTAAAGACTTCTCAGGTCGCACTGCTCCTTCATCCTTTTAAAATTGCATCAGTTATTGTAGACTGCCATCTGTTTGAATGCAACATGTAAGTTTATGATTTATCGTGGACAAAGTGATTGA